AAAGCTCCACAACAACAACAATGATAAGATAAAATAACAAGGGAAAAGAATACGATACCACCCGCCAAAAAATGAGTCCGACCCAGAAGACACCCTGTCCTTCTGGGTAACTCTCCGTTACATCCTGGACATGACATGCTGTGGTATGGAATACCTCTTTGGTCAGTTTGGGTCAGGTGTCCTGTCTATGCTTCCTCCCGGCTTCCCCTCCTCCCTGACAGAGCATGAGGCTCACAAAGTCCTTGGCCAGACCAAAGCATAATTGTTATCAGCTCTATTGCCAAGCCGAAAGTCAAAACACAGCACTGCACCAGCTACCAAGAAGGAGAAAAATGACTGCTACTGCTAAACCCAGGACAGACAGCCATGAGGTATTTGAGAATTACAGTATTGGAATCTTAAATGATAAGTGTGTATGCTGTAGAACTGAGTAGGGTAATTCCATGTAACAGTTCTTATATATGTATCCAAACGTGGTGACTGGTTGCTTACTTGCTGATATGCCTCTGCTATCTCAAGTTTTTGTTTAATGTCAGGCTTACAAAGTGGCTTTGGAGAGTTTAGGCCATTGTGAATATGCGCTGAAGGCTGGCTTCCACTTGAACCCAAAAGCTATTGAAGCAAGTCTTCAGGTAGGATCTGCTGAACTTATTCTCTCTTTCATCTATCCTCACCTTGAAAATAACTTTTTAAAACATATAAATTGGACTCATATTAGGATTTTCTAATTTCTTCATTTCTTGTAATGGATCTGTGTTATGTCCCAGGGTTGTTGCAGTGAAGCTGAAGCCCAGCAAACAGGAAGGAGACAGACTCCTCCTCAGCCCATTCAGTCTGAACTGCCCACTGTTCCTGTTCAAATAGGATCACATTTTCTGAAAGGAATATCCTTTAATGAGTCTGCAGCAGAAAACCTAAAGCTGAAAACGGTAATAACCTGTATCTAACCACAGGAGTGAATTGTAAAAAGAAACAACACAAACAAAAACCCAAACTTGAATCCCTTAAAATCCAGAGAACAACTGCAGTAGAATTTCAGTGCCAAACTTGTATTTAAAAGTACATAGTTTTAGCCTGACTTCCTGTGGAAGCAAGATCTTGATAACATTGTAGGTACACACCTGCTTCTGATAATGTTTTAATCACCAGGGCAAGTTTAGTTCTATATGAGAGATACATAGAAATCTGGGAGGCATTGAAGCTTCTGTGAACTTTTTGAAAATAGATGGGTTAGGTATCCAGAAGTGGAGGGGAAGGTGAGGCCTTGCTAATGGTCGTCAGAGCACTTATTGTCTTAGGTGCCAAAATAAGTCAGGCCCAGCCTAGTGCTGGGAGGTGGGAGGTATGTTTAAAAAAAAAAAATTGGAACAAAGCTCTTCTTGATGTCTTTTTAGAAACTTTAATCAACTGTTAAAAATTGTGGAGAAAACTCTATTTTCAGTATGAAGGAATGGAAAATATGTCCATGCATTCAGAAGTGATTTGGGCAATTTAAATCAGCATTTTCATATTTATTTATTTATTTATTTATTTATTTAATAAACCCAGTTCCTTGTTCCTGGAAGAATAGTAACAATCCATTGCTCAAAATGCTGCTGTTCTGCTGTCTTTGCAGTGCTTTTTGTAGTTTTAGAATCATAGAATCATAGAATAGTTAGGGTTGGAAAGGACGTTAAGATCATCAAGTTCCAACCCCCCTGCCATGGGCAGGGACACCTCGCTCTAAACCATGTTACCCAAGGCCTCGTCCAACCTGGCCTTGAACACTGCCAGGGATGGAGCATTCACAACCTCCCTGGACAACCTATTCCAGTGCCTCACCACCCTAACAGGAAAGAATTTCCTCCTTATATCCAATCTAAACTTCCCCTGTTTAAGTTTAAACCCCATACCCCTTGTCCTATCACTACAGTCCCTAATGAAGAATTCAGCATCCCTATAGGCCCCCTTCAGATACTGGAAGGCTGCTATGAGGTCTCCACGCAGCCTTCTCTTCTCCAGGCTGAACAGCCCCAACTTTCTCAGCTGATCTTCATATGGGAGGTGCTCCAGTCCCCTGATCATTCTCGTGGCCCTCCTCTGGACTTGTTTCAACAGATCCATGTCCTTTTTATGTTGAGGACACCAGAACTGTACACAATACTCCAAGTGAGGTCCCACAAGAGCAGAATAAAGGGGCAGGATCACCTCCTTGGACCTGCTGGTCACACTCCTTTTGATGCAGCCCAGGAAACGGTTGGCTTTCTGAGCAGCAAGCGCACACTGCAGCCAGCTCATGTTCATTTTCTCATCCACCAGCACCCCCAAGTCCTTCTCTGCAGGGCTGCTCTGAATCTCTTCTCTGCCCAGCCTGTAGCTGTGCCTGGGATTGCTCTGACCCAGGTGTAGGACCTTGCACTTGGCATGGTTAAACTTCATGAGGTTGGCATCAGCCCACCTCACAAGCATGTCAGGGTCCCTCTGCATGGCATTCCTTCCCTCCAGCATATCAACCGAACCACACAGCTTGGTGTCATCGGCAAACTTGCTGAGGGCGCACTCAATCCCACTTTTTATGTCAGCGACGAAGATGTTAAACAAGACTGGTCCCAACACCGATCCCTGAGGGACACCACTTGTAACTGGTCTCCAGCCGGACATTAAGCCACTGACCATAACTCTTTGTGTGTGGCCATCCAGCCAGTTCTTTATCCACCGAGTGGTCCATTCATCAAATTGATGTCTCTCCAATTTAGAGACAAGGATGTCATGTGGGACAGTGTCGAATGCTTTACACAAGTCCAGATAGATGACATCAACTGCTTTACTGCTGTCCATCAGTTCTGCAGCCCCATCATAGAAGGCCACCAAATTGGTCAGGCAGGATTTCCCCTTGATGAAGCCATGCTGGCTGTCACCAAGCACCTTGTTGTTTTTCATGTGCCTTAGCATGCCTTCCAGGAGAATCTGCTCGAAGATTTTGCCAGGCACAGAGGTGAGACTGACTGGCCTGTAATTTCCCGGGTCATCCTTTTTCCCCTTCTTGAAAATGGGGGTTATATTTCCCTTTTTCCAGTCGTCGGGAACTTCACCTGACTGCCATGATTTTTCAAATATGATGGCCAGCAGCTTAGCATCTTCATTCGCCAGCTCCTTCAGGACCCGCGGATGGATTTCATCAGGACCCATGGACTTGTGCACGTTCAGATTTTTAAGATGGTCTCGAACCAATTCCTCTCCTGCAGTGGGCCCAAGGTCTTCATTCTCACAGTCCCTGCGTCTGCCTTCCAAGACTTGGGTGGTGCGGTCAGAGCCTTTGATAGAGAAGACTGAGGCAAAGAAGTCATTCCGAACCTCAGCCTTCTCCAAACTGTTCTGCAAGTTAAGCAAAAATACTCTTTTATTACTTTGGAGGTGCATTGTGTTCCAAATAGCAGAATGTTCTTCTATATTTCTGTTCTGCAGTTGAGCTATTCTAGTTATACAAGACTGTTCAGAGGTAACAGATGCTGCAGTTGTCAGAAAAGCGTATAGAATAGTGCTAAGTACTTGTGGAAGCACTGGTGTTAACATTTCTGAATTGTGTGTTTAGTATGACAAAGTGTTCATTTTTTCAGCATGCGATGCTGCAGTTGATTAAGGAAGCCGGATGCCATAATGGACTTACACCATGGGATGACTCTCCTGTTACTGAAGTACTAAATCAGGTTTGCCCTTCCACTTGGCGAGGAGCCTGCAAAACTGCCGTACAATTGTTGTTTGGCCAAGCTGGACTGGTAAGTGACTATGAATTAGATTTGTTGGGGGAGAGGGGCACTGATCCATCCCAAAACTACCAGTTAGATGCCAGCACCTGTAATGAATGCTCAGAGCGATGCAGAGCTATGTCAGCCACTCTTGCCAATGAGACAGCTTTATTTGGAGCTCTGCTCAGATGCCTCTGTACAAATGCCCATAGTGTGGAGAATAAACGAGGAATTAGATTCTGTTGGAATCACAGAAACATGGTGGAATGGCTCCTATGACTGAGTGTTGGATTAGAAATGTTATAGGCTCTTGAGGAAAGACAGACCAGGCAGATGGCGAGGGGGAGTAGGTATTTATGGCAATGATAGCCTGGAGAGTATGGAACTCTGTATGGGGACAGGTGATGAGTAAAGAGAGAGCTTGTGGGTCAGGGTCAAAGGGAAAACTGCAATCGGGGACATGACTGTGGGGATCTGCTACAGGCCACCTGATCAAGAGGACTCTGTGGATGAAGCTCTCTATAGGCAGATAGGAGCAGCCTCCCATTCGCAGGACCTTGTCCTCATGGGGGACTTCAACCACCTTGATATCAGTTGGAGGAACGGTACTGCCCGTCACAAGCAATCTAGGAAGTTATTTGATTGCATGGAAGACAACTTTCTCTTGCAAGTAATAGAGGAGCTGACAAGGTGAAGTGCCATGCTTGACCTCGTGCTCACCAAAAGGGAAAGGCTGGTGGGGAATGTGATGCTCAGAGGCATCATTGGTTGCAGTGATCACAAGACAGTGGAATTTGGGATCCTCAGGTCACTGAGAAGAGCAGGGATCAAGCTCACTGTCCTGGACTTGAAGGGAGCAGACTCTGGCCTCTTCAGGAACCTGCTTAGTAAGGTTCTGTGAGATAAAGCTCTAGAGGGCAGGGGGGCCCTAGAATATTGGTTCATATTCAGTGATCACCTGCTTCAAGCATATAAGTGTTGTGTCCCAACAAGAAGGAAATGGGGCAAGAAGCCCAGGAGACCTCCTTGGATGGATAAGGAGCTGCTGAGGAAATTTCGAGGGGAAAAAAGAAGCTTGTGGATGGTGGAAGTGAGGACAGGTGGCCTGGGAAGAATACAGGGAAGCTAAGATCAGCTAAGGAAAGCTAAGGCCCAAATAGAACGGAGTCTGGCCAGGGATGTCAGAGATAAGAGAAAAGGCTTCTATAGTGTCATGGTTTAAGGCCAGCCAGTAACTCAAAACCATGCAGCTGCTTGCTCACTCCCTCCGTCTTTCCCTCTACTACCTGAGGGATGGGGAGGCAAACCAAAAGAATGTAAATCCCACGGGTTCAGATAAGAACAGTCCAGTAACTAAGGTATAATACAAAATCACTACTGCTACCACCAATAATAATAATGATGATGAGGGAAATAACAAGGGGAGAGAATCTGGTTGTTCACCATCATCCGGCAGATACCCAGCCTGACCTGAGCAGCGATCTGTGCCTACTGGGTAACTGCCCCCAGTTTATATACTGAGCATGACATACTGTGGTATGGAATACCCCTTTGGCTAGTTTGGGTCAGGTGTCCTGTCTTTGCTTCCTCGCGGCTTCCCATGCCCCTCCTCAATAGCACAGCATGTGAGACTGAAAAGTCCATCATTGGGGTAAGCATTACTTATCAATAACTAAAAGCACTGGTGTGTTATCAGTGTTGTTTCTAGACTGAAGTTGAAAACATAGCAATGCACCAGCTACGAGGAAGGATAAAAATGACTGCTGCCGCTGAACCCAGGACATACAGGTATGTTTCTAACAAAAGACAGACTGGGGATAATGTTGGCTCTGTCTGGAAGGAAATCAAAGAACTGGCTTCCCTGGATTTGGAAAAGGCTGAGGTTCTCAATTACTTCTTGCCTTAATCTTCACCAGCAAGTGATCTGACCATGCTGCCCAAGTCTTGGAAGGCAGATGCAGCAACTGTGAGAATGAAGATCTTGGGCCCACTGTAGGAGAAGATCAGGTCTGAGATCATCTTAAGGACCATGGGACCTGATGAAATCCATCCGTGCATCCTGAAAGAGCTGGCAAATGAAGTTGCTAAGCCACTGTCCATCATATTTGAAAAATCATTGCAGTCAGGTGAAGTTCCCAACAACTGGAAAAAGGGAAATATAACCCCCATTTTCAAGTAGGGGAAAATGGAAGACCTGGAAACTACAGACCAGCCAGTCTCATCTCTGTGGAGACCAGTAACAAGTGGTGTCCCTCAGGGACTGGTGTTGGGACCGGTCTTGTTCAACATCTTTGTCAGCAACATGGACAGTGGGATTGAGTGCACCCTCAGCAAGTTTGCTGATGACACCAAGCTGTGTGGTTCGGTTGATATGCTGGAGGGAAGGAATGCCATTCAGAGGGATCTTGACATGCTTGTGAGGTGGGCTGATGCCAACCTTATGAAGTTTAACCATGCCAAGTGCAAGGTCCTACACCTGGGTCGGAGCAATCCCAGACACAGCTACAGGTTGGGCAGAGAAGAGATTTAGAGCAGCTCTGCAAAGGACTTGGGGATATTGGTTGATGAGAAGATGAATATGAGTCAGCAGTGTGCACTTGCAGCCCAGAAAGCCAACCGTTATCCTGGGCTGCATCAAAAGGAGCATGACCTGCAGGTTGAAGGAGGTGATCCTGCCCCTCTACTCTGCTCTCGTGAGACCTCACTTAGAGTATTCTGTACAGTTCTCGTGTTCTCAACCTAAGAAGGACATGGTACTGTTGGAACAAGTCCAGAGGAGGGCCATGAGGATGATCAGGGGACTGGAGTACCTCCCTTACGAAGATAGTCTGAGAAAGTTGGGGCTGTTCAGCCTGGAGAAGAGGCAGCTTCGTGGAGACCTCATAGCAGCCTTCCAGTGTCTGAAGGGGGCCTATAACGTACTCAGGTGGGACTCTTCATTAGGGACTGTAGTGATAGGACAAGGGGTAACGGGTTAAAACTTAAACAGGGTAAGTTTAGATTGGATAAAAGGAAGAAGTTCTTGACTGTGAGGGTGGTGAGGCACTGGAATGGGTTGCCCAAGTTGTGAATGCTCCATCCCTGGTGGTGTTCCAGGCCAGGTTGGACAGAGCCTTTGGTGACATGGTTTAGTGTAAGGTGTCTCTGCCTATGGCAGGGGGGTTGGAACTTGATGATCTTAAGGTCCATTCCAACCCTAACTATTCTCTGATTCTAAATATTAATAAGTACAAGAACTAGAAAAAAGGCTATGGTTAAGTGGGATTGTGTCTTCACCTGCCATAGTTTGTGCTAGGATGCTGGGAGCCAGAAGTAAGGTATGGGAAATGAGGACAAGAAAGGAACTGCTTCTCAGCAGCCCTGTAGGAATATGCTGTAACTCAGGAGTTCTTGGCTCCTGAGTGTCTACATGCGGAATGCCTTGGAGGATGCTGCACTTTCCACCATTTCCTTTCCAGGGTGTTTCATTTTTCTGCACACCCAAGTCCTGCCCTGATGAGATCTGGGGAGTGGCCCAAGGCACATTCAGACTCGGGAGTTTGAAAATATCTTGGTGTCCCCATCTAGACATAACTAGTTAGACCTGCTGGTAATTAATGTGGTGATGTTCTTCAGGTTTATAATAACATTTAGAGAGTTCTCAGCATAAAAGTTACACATTCCCCCAAATGACAGTGCTGATATATGTAATATTACTTGTGTTGATTCATGAGTGTCTCCAATGCTTTTTGCATGAACCTCAGGTTCTGAAAGTAGCAGGTTTCCATCTTCAAAGACACAGTAATGAACTACCCACATGACAAAATACTTGCCAGCCTTCTTTCCTTCGTTCATTCTCACTTTCATTTGTTGCATTCTGGAAGGGTGTGAGGGTTGAGTTTTTTCTTTATTAACTATGTGCCATAATTTTTTACGAGATTCAATTATGCTTCAATGTAGCCTCATGCAATGATGAGAAATTGTAATTTGCTTCTTTAAAGTATTGATTGGGTGGAAATGAGAGAGGAAGCACTTATAAAAGAAGAATGATAGATGTCTGATGCACAGGAACCTATCCTCTAAGCACCCACCAGGCAGGGAGAATGTGTTTATTTTATTTTGTGTATAACTCAGATAAATGAATCATGGGACAGTGTTATGTAGCATTTGCTTTACAGCTTTTAGAAATTGAGCTGTCTGTATTAGTTCAGAATTGTGTGTAAATTTGTCATTCAAATGCCCAATTTAAAAAAGAACATGACTTGACAGTCTTGCTATCTTTAGCCTATCTTGTGTACCTTTTAAGAACAAACGCATTAAGACTGGAAAGCACAATGAGATGACTTAGTTTGCTTGGTTATTTTAGGCCCCTGGTTTTTTTTTAACATAAGAAATATTTTTTTAAAGTGCAGGTTTTCAGTTTTTACCTTAGCATATATATATATATATTAAGAATTGTGTTTTCATATTTGGGAAGAAATCTCCATGCTTGAATAAGCAATGTATATTAAAATAGTTGAATTCAGAAGATGAGTACAAAAAAAATTTGAATTGGCGTAATGAAGAGAAGGTTTAATTGAGTCTCTAGCCATCCTGTTTTGTGCTAGTAAATCTTTCTGTGTAAAAACCATGCATTGCAAAGCCCTGAATCTTGTAGTAATGTTTATATCCAGATGTCATAACTGACCAAATGTTGAGAGATGTTGAAACTGGTTTTAAGGCAGAGGGAGGGGGATAGAGATGGGATGGACAGAAGATGACACCCCCAGCAAAGCCCAGACTATGAGCACTGCCATGCACCAGAAGCTTCTGTACATCTGCACAAATCAGAATTTTAGTTCTGATTTGCATGTCTGAGATGCAGACAGGATTTTTTTTTTCTTGGGAGCTAAGAACAATAATTCCTAAGATATCTCCTTACCCCAATTATAATTGCAATATATCTGAATTGCAGATTACCAAATTACCTAAAATTAAAATGGTACAAATACAAGGAAAAAGAGTAATGGAGTTGCCCTGTGTCCTGGGTTCAGCTGTAATAGGTATTTTTCTTTTTCTTAGTAGCTGGTGCAGTGCTGTGTTTTTTACTTTAGTCTGAGAACACTGCTGGTAACACACCAATGTTTTTAGTTGTTGCTAAGTAATGCTTACTCCAATCAAGGACTTTTCATTCTCATGCTCTGCCAGTGAGGAGGGGCAGGAGAAGACAGAAGGAAGCAGAGACAGGACACCTAGCCCAAACTAGCCAAAGGGGTATTCCATACCACAGCAAATCATGCCCAGTTTATAAACTGGGGGAATCACCTGGAAGGCCCAGATCGCTGCTCAGGTCAGGCTGTTTATCGGTCGGTGGGTGGTGAGCAGTTACATTGTGCATCACCTGTGTTTATTGTTTTCCTTTCCCCTTTTAGTTTTATATTCTCTCCCCTTGTTATTTCCCTTGTCATGTTTATTATTATTGGCGGTAGTAATAGTGGTTTTGTATTATACCTTAGTTACTGGACTGTTCTTATCTGAACCCGTGGGATTTACATTCTTTCGATTCTCCTCCCCATCCCTCTGGGAGCAGGGGGGAAGAAGGGGTGGAGTGAGCGAGCGGCTACATGGTTCTGAGTTACCAGCTGGGCTTAAACCATGACACCCTGTTATTAAGTATTTTCATAAGTGGATAATAGCATGATGCTTTGTTGGCATGCTTAGACATATTTTACAAGTTTGAATAAACTTGCATAAATGCTTAGAGTCAACTGGACGAAAACTAAGGCTTTATGCTAAAATACCTAAAAGGTAGGAAGTAATTATGCTTGAGTGTCATTGGATGGTTTTGTTAACGCAAGAGAGAGAAAAGACTCTCAGCATTATTAATATTTCACATATCTTCATAACCAGCAGTAGACAGCCAGTTAGAAGTAGAACCAGTGTAGGATGATCGCAAAAGAGCCAGTAATATCCCTTGAGACTTATTTATACCAGAGGACTTTAGCCATTTCAAGAATAAATAGTACAGCTAATCTGCTAGTCACTGAAGCAAGAACTGCTGACAGCTGCCAAAAAGCTCCTGGTTCAGCATGACCAAAATAGGAGATTATGAAAACGATCAAAAAGGCTGACCTGTGCAGACTGGGCAACAACAGAAAGCATGAAACAAATATGGAACTGGTATTAAAGTTTAAATGAAGCTGAAGTGAATCCATTCCTCCGCTATTCCATAAAAAGAAAGATTGATTTTTCAAGACTTTTATCTTCCATGTATCTTCATGATGCCTTACAGAAGGCTCAGAATTCCACAAATTGAACAGTCACTTTTATATAATAAGGAAATAGTACTGTTCCATTAGATAGAATAGATAAATTGTTGGTGTGGGATTTTATAACCTTAAAAGGAAAGGGGGGCTGTTAAGAATTGTGAGCAGTGTGAAGAGTTTCAGAGTCTGTACTATTTGTCTATATCATACCATGCACTGCAGTTAAATTATTTAAAATATTTTGATAAATAGTTGTTTGGGAGCTATTAAAGTAGTAATAGTGCCCAACCTCTCAAATGTAGGGGCTGTCACATGAACCCTGATGACTACCAGATATTTAGGTAAAGCAGCTGGTAACTATGTTGTGATGCATAACTATAATATGTAATTGAGAATAATTAAGTCTTTGAAATATAAGTTACTGTATCAAGCTAATTTTTTTAATTTACTTTTAAAAATATGAATAAACTTACAATGACTTTGTGAGTTGATTTGTTTTTATCTGGTTATGTTTTATACCTGTAGCATGGCAGGTAGATGAGGCTATTGCATCTTGACTACAGTGGTGATAAAATAACTTGAACTGATTCTCAAAATAATTTGTTTTATTTTCATTTTCTCTGTTAGGTGGTTGTGGACACAGCACAGATTGAAAATAAAGAAACTTATGCTCCTCAGATAAGTTTAGAAGGATCCAGAATTGTGGTGCAAGTTCCATCAACTTGGTAAATAAAAATACTGTATTGCAGATTATGCTATTAACGATGACTGAAATATATAGGGGAAAATATTGCAGTACAAGTGAAAGAGAGAATACTAGATAATTAGGGCATATCTTAAGTTCCTTTATCTGGAATTGAGTACAGTTCCTGACAGACCGACAGCTGTGTTTTAGCAGCTGTCTCTGTACTTGTGCTGCCTCCAGAGGCAGCACAAGAGGGGCAGTGATGGGGCACTTAAGACATACTTATAAAGAAAAAACTTGATGATGGAAGAGAAGGTTTAAAAAATAAAAAATAATAATCCAACAATATTCCTGTTATGCTTCTTCCCAGCAGGTCCTCACAGTTCTTGCCTCAGGAAGGCCAGGAATTAGATGAGTTTAATGAGAGCTTTAGCTCTCTTCACTGAGCTGTTCTTTAGACATTGTCATGAACCTCAGAACTCTGTGGTCTGAGACACTCTGTCCCTGTCAGTTTAGTTGACTGCCTAGGGAAGAACGGTAGGATTAATCTGCAGTTTAGGTGAGGCTTTCTTCCCTTCTGAACCAATTATTTGGAATTAGACCACTTCCTTTCTCTTACTTCAGAGTACCCAGTGTTAGGAATTTCAGTACAACACAGTGCATTCATTTGAATCCTTGGTGAGAGCCTGTTACTAGTGGTACCAGTGGTATGTCCAGTAGTGAGAGTCAACTGATAGTCTCTTTACACAAATACATCTTTAATTCTTCTATAGAGTATAAACTGGCACTTCTTTGTTCTCTTCTTGTAAATTGCTGTGTTATGAAAGAACTAAAATCATGTGGAGTGCTTGAACCAGGTGTTGTGCGATATGGAAGATCTCCGCCTGCTGACACACAGTGAGAGTGGCTCTTCACCCCTTTCTGCCCAAATTATGTCTGCTCAGCTAAAGAGCTAATCATTAATTGTTATTTCTAAAATGAATATACAGCTAATCTAACTGTAAGAGTTATATAATTTAACAGTAGAAAGAAACTGAGGCTGAAGGCATAGTCTTTAGGAACCCTCAGTCATCCATACATAATGCTGCCTTTACTAGTTGCACCTCTTTAGGAGCAGTAATAGTGCAGCAGTTGGCCTTTTATTATCTGACTAGTATGGTAAAATTGTCTAAAGTAAAAAAACAAACCAAAACAAACCAACAAACAAACACACAAACCAAAACACAACAAGAAAATTTTTATTTTTAAGTTAAACTTAATGGTTACAGGTGTCTGAAAGAAGATCCAGCAACAATGTCTCTGCTACAGAGGAGTCTGGATCCAGAGAAGACTTTGGGGCTAGTAGATGTGCTCTACACTGCTGTATTCGACATACACAGGTGGAAGGAAGGAAGGTACATCTACTTCTGAAACTTATGCTCTCATGTTCTGGTGTCCTAGTTTAAACAAAGTCATCATTGAAAGATCTATACTGAAGAATTTCTTAGTACCGATTCATCAGGAGGGGAAAACAGTAATCAAAATGAGGGCAGGAAATTGGTATTCTATGTAAGCACCTTGTGGGTATGTACAGAGATACAGCAGTCTTCTTGAAACCAAACCAGCAGCTTATCAAAATGTGCAAAAATATTTGTTTCTCTCTTACAAAAATACTTGATTTTTATTTAATTAGTTACTATTTAAATCTTAAAGCACAATTAAAATGTCTTAATTAATGTAGTTAATGCTATTCCAAATGCCGGTAATAATTTTCATTGTTACCATAAGAAGTAATTGATGAACTCAGCAATTTTTGGTTTTGTTTCTTCCAGTAGCTACTACCCAAATACACATTTTCCTCTGAAGTACAAGCTCAATTATGTATTAGGTGGTTTGATATACATATTTTTGTTTATGCAGGGAGCAAGCTTTGCCTTGTATTCAGATCCAGTTACAGCGTGAAATCTTAGGCTTTGGGAATCAAGTTGACACGCCTTCTGGAAATGGAAGCAAATCTTCAGGTGGTCTGCAAAAGACATTCTCAAAACTGACTTCACGGTTTACAAAAAAAACTTCCTGCACCAGTACAAGTAATATTGGAAGTTACTCAATCCCCAATACATCTTCCAAAAATGTCTTCATAAGTTTCAACACGGAGGAGAAAGCTAAAATGCTCACTAACATAGACGCACGGTTACAAAGCATCTTGAATACTGGTAATTTCCCTAGGACTGCAGATCCACTGCAGTCAGTTCAGAACACAAATAACCAGCTAGTGAATGGGTGTCTAGTTCAAAGATGGGACAATTTCTTCAAACTGGATGATAGCAAGGATGACAAAGTTATGAATTTACCAACTGACCAAGAAATGCAGGATGTTATAGATTTCTTGTCTGGTTTTAACATGGACAAATCCCAGCAGACTTCTCCGATGGTGAAAAGAAGGAACTCTGCATCCTCTACAGCAACAGAACAAAAATCAGGAACAGTACAACAGCAACCGCAGTCTGTTTCTCACTCACCACTGCATCCTTCCCAGCAAGGCTTGTCACAGCAACAACAATCACAAAAGCAGCAGCAGCAAATGCAGTATTACCAACACTTGCTTCAACCCATTGGACCACAGCAACATGTACCTGCCAAATGGCTAACTAATTCCTTGAAGCAGCCAGCCCAAGCTGTTGGAGCTGGACTGTCTCATATACACCAGTGGAACAATCCTGGTTTTTCAGATTTAAGCTCTGATTTGTACAGCTTGGGTCTTGTGAGCAGCTATATGGACAATATGATGTCAGAGAAGTTAGGACAGAAACCACAAGGACCTAGAAATAACACGTGGCCAAATCGTGACCAAACTGATGGAGTGTTTGGGATGCTGGGAGAAATCCTGCCTTTTGACTCTGCAGGTATGCTCCTTTTTCTTCATTGTGATTTTTTTTTTGGGGGGGGAATGTGTTGTTTTTGTTTGGTGGGGGTTGTTTTGGTTGCTTTTGTGGTGGTGGTGTGTTCTTTTTTTTCTGTTTTGGTTTGTTTTGGTTTTTTTTTAAATAAGGCTCTGTCATGGTTTAATCCCAGCTGTTAACTCAGAACCACAGAACCACACCTCCAGGAGGGATGGAGAGGAGAATCAAAATAATGTAAACCCCACAGGTTGAAATAAGAACAGTCCAGTAACTAAATTATAATACAAAATGTAGTACTAATATTACCAATAATAATGATAAGGGAAATAACAAGGGGAGAGAATATAAAACTAAAAAGGGGAAAAGAAAAGAAACCAGTAAACCCAAGTGATGCACAATGCAGTTGCTCACCACCTACCAACCGATACTCAGCCCGACCCAAGCAGTGATCTGAGCCTTCCGGGTGACTCTCCCCAGTTGATATACTGGGCATGATGTACTGTGGTATGGAATACCCCTTTGGCTAGTTTGGGTCAGGTGTCCTGTCTCTCCTTCCTCCTGTCTTCTTGTGCCCTTCCTCACTGGCAGAGCATGAGAGACTGAAAAGTCCTTGATCAGAGTAAGCATCACTTCACAACACCTAAACCACTGGTGTGTTATCAGCATTGTTCTCAGACTAAAGCTAAAATGCAGCACTGCACCATCTACTAGGAAAAAGAAAAATAACTGTTAAGCTGAACCCAGGACAGGATCCTTTCACAAAGAATACTATTATTGCTAGCAATAACTGTCATTTCCTAGTGCTATTCACCAAATCCTAAGGTGCTCACAAAAGCCAGCAGGTATTTATATGTATGCATTCCTAGAGGAACTGAAGTACAAGAAACTTTCATTAAGAATGGGAACAAGTTCCTTTTTTTTCTTGTCCCAGCTAAGTGGTTCTAACCTTTCCTACATGGACCATATCAAAGTACTGAAATGGATACTTACAGATGATGTTCCTCCTATTGATAATTTATGAAATTGCTTAAAACTCAGCTCTTGAACTTGCGTATTTTACCTCTCCCCAGAATGATCCTTAGTGCTCTTTACCAATCCTGCAGTCTGGAGATACAGCCGGATTGCATCTTTTACCATGTCCCCGCATTTCCCCTCCATTACTTTGCAGTTCCATGGGAGTCATACTGGTTCCTGTTCCACAGCTGTGACTGCAGTGAGAAGCTTGGATGCTGAAGGGTTAGAGACTTTAAAAGAGCAAGTGCCATGTGGTTTGTCAGATGTGTTTGAACCACCAATAAATTGTAAATATAGAAGGATTGCTGTCAAAAGATGAAGTGAGATAAAATTTTATAGCCATAAGGAAATAACTAAATTGACTTTAGAGCCTAAGAGGAGGATATTAGTCAATTCTTCTGATAGTAGTACTAAGAACAACTTACAAATCCACTACCTCATAAATGTAATTTCTGTTGGCCGGGAACATTGCTACAGAATCCTTGTAGTATGCATGTAGGAAAATTGCCTGGAGGGAGTCAGTGCTCACACCAACAGGAAAACCTGTTATCAAGCCACAGAATCAGCTTCCCACACTCTTTTGTATGTGCATGTGTGTGAGGACTGTGGAGGCATCTCGGAAACCAGCTCATTTGACTCAGTTTTGATAATTATTTAGTCAGTGGAGTTTATAAAGCAAAAATAGGCAGTGTAGTTATGTTATCAAAAACTTCTTGACGATTTTGAGTCTGAATTAGTGTCATCTTATTTAAATGTACTCGTGCTATATACTTAAGGAGGATCACAACCTTTAAGGGTAAAATTATTTTCACTGAGAGCCAAATACATGTATGTGTAGGGGAAAAAATACATGTATAGAGAGGACTGGCATTTTTAGCATTTTGAATTTCTGTAGGATTTTCCTTTTGATCTTCATAAAGCTACTTGTTCCATTGGATATGTATGATGAATACCAAGGACTTTGATAATTTGAAGAGTTGATAAATAGTGCTGTCGATTAAGACATACGTTTCTACAGTACAAGTGATAAGTAGACAGTATTTAAGCCACAGGGCTTAAAAAAACAACAAAAAACCCTAACTTCCAATCAAGTAGATTCTTCCATTGGAAAGATAACTTTTCTTCATGTAACCTGCCAGGTTGAGCTGTGATGTAGGAGTTTTCAATTTAAGCTCTAGTTAGTGTAGCACAGAAAGCTTTAAAACACGAAACACTTGTTCATTTCCAGACTTTCTTGGGACTTTATACATTTGTCATTTGAAATAAATGGCAATACTTTATTGATAAATATTTTAGAACCTGAAAATGATGTCTCTTTTCAGATGAAAATGTGCTAATTAAGAATTTAAAAAATTGATGGCTTTTCATTTTGAAGGCTTAACTAATGACCAAAAATGTGTTTTGCAGTACTTTTATCATTTGTAAGAACTTGAGGAAGGAATGTTACAGTGAGAACTAGTAGAAGGAATGTTGAATTACTTTCACAGATGTGAAAAAATGAAGGCAAAAACCTCTGATAAAAAGCTGTTTACTTGATATGTTTTTATGAAGGTAAAAATTAACACAAGTTACTATTCTGAATATAAAAGTGATTTAAGACTTATCCAGAGGATAAAAATGTGGGCACCCTTCAGAATCTGTCTAGAATCTATCCTCAGATCTGAGGATCTGTCTATTTTCCAGTCTCATTTTAAATTGACATAAAGATATTTCTCAAAGAGAACAAGTATTAGTGGGAATATTTTGTTTCTGACAGCTTTCAGATAGCTTTGTCCCTTGCTTACATAATAAAGAATGTATAGAAAGAAGTTATTTTCTTTACTGACCTTTGAATTTGCATCCAACAAAACACTGTGGAGCTGTTTTCTGAATGTGCCAAATGAAAACGAGGAAACTTTTCTTCTGAATGCTGAATTGAGTGTAAGGAAGCCATCACATGAAAAACTGGTTTCTGCTTTGAGCTGTGCATACTTGTTGGATGTTCTTCAGTCTCCACTCTTAATTTAAAACTGAGACCAGCAATCCAACAGCTCTGTACTTCCTTCTACAATTACTAGGGTGGTGAGGCACTGGAACGGGTTGCCCAGGGAGGTTGTGAGTGCTCCATCCCTGGTGGTGTTCAAGGCCAGGTTGGACAAAGCCTTGGGTGGCATGGTTTAGTATGAGGTGTCCCTGCCCATGGCAGGGGGGTTGGTACCAGATGATCTTAAGGTCCTTTCCAACCCTAACTATTCTATGATTCTATGCATGTAGTCTAGACATTTTCCATAAATCCAGTCAAATTGCAAAGTTTTCCTTCAGGGGAGGAGAGGGGGGAAAGGCAAAAAGAAAAAGAAGCTGTGTGTCGTGATTTAAACCAAGCCAGACCACTTGTGCACTCACTCCCAGTGAGTGGTGCCAGGCTGCAAGCAATCCAGGCCCACGTTAGTGTCCCCCCCCTTCCCCGCTCCCAGAGGGATGGGGAGGAGAGTCAAAAGAATGCAACTCCCACGGGCTGAGATAAGAACCGTCTAGCAACTAATGTACAATACAAATCACCACCACTACCACCAACGACAACAATGATAAGAGAAAATAGCAAGGGAAAAGAGTACAATACCACGCGCCGAACAACGAGTCCGACCCGGCCGACCCCCTGTCCTTCCGGGTAACTCCCAGTTCCCCCCTGGGCATGATGTGCTGTGGTATGGAGTACCTCTTTGGTCAGTTTGGGTCAGGTGTCCTGTCTCTGCTTCCTCCCGGCCTCCCTTCCTCCCTGGCAGAGCATGAGGCTCACAAAGTCCTTGGCCAAACCAAAACATCATTTTTATCAACATTGTTCCCAGCCCAAAAGTCAAAACACAGCACTGCGCCAGCTACTAAGAAGGAGAAAAAATGACTGCTACTGCTAAACCCAGGACATTATCCACCCCTTATTCCATACCATTCATGTCATGCTCAGATCCCACATTTTCAATATACCATCACTCTGATCTCAGTGCACTTCTATCTTAGTGCATGGACCAATCCCTATAAAGCTGCTGAGTCCATCTGGTCCATGATGTCAGGCTCCATCTCTTGTAACAGTCTTTCAGAACAGGAGAGGCTGTGTGCAGTACTGGGGCGTGGCCTGCTGATGCTGATCATTCCCTTACTGTAGAACTTGCCTGGTTTTGTCAAAGTTCATTCTCTGTTGGGATGATGGTTGAAGGGAAGTCAGGGCTAGTCGCTGCTGGCCTGAAGACATCTGGTTGATGGGCTATTAAAGTATTACACAGCAGGCAACAACATACACTTAAGTTCATTGGTTGTTTTCCCCTAAAATTAAATCCCCTTGAGGAATACATCGGACTTCCCCATCGTCCCGCATTACCCACCAAGTGTATCCAGGTCCCTGAGCAACAGGAATCCCACGAGTGGGTTTGCCTTTACTTGAAGCAGGAATAACCCAGACTGTCTTCCCCAGCAAATTCTTCACATGCACCACAGGAACTTTGTCCCCCTCTACAATATGTAAAAGTTCCGATTGGGCTGGGCCAGCCCTGTTGGCAGATCCCCTCGTGTTGACCAACCATGTGGCCTTTGGTAAGTGTGTATCCCAATGCTTGAAATTTCCCCCACCCATTGCTCTCAGTGTAGTTTTTAACAGCCCATTGTACCTTTCGATTTTCCCAGAGGCTGGTGCATGGTAGGGGATGTGATATACCCACTCAATGCCATGCTCTTTGGCCCAAGTGTCTATAAGGTTATTCCGGAAATGAGTCCCATTGTCTGACTCAATTCTCTCTGGGGTGCCGTGTCGCCACAAAATGTGTTTCTCAAGGCCCAGGATAGTGTTCCGGGCAGTGGCGTGGGGCACAGCGTACGTTTCCAGCCATCCGGTGGTTGCTTCCACCATGGTAAGCACATGGCGCTTACCTTGGCGGGTTGGTGGCAGTGTGATATAGTCAATCTGCCAGGCCTGCCCATATTTATACTTCAGCCATTGTCCTCCATACCAAAGAGGTTTT